CTTGGGGGCCCTGGGTGGGGCCAGCACAGCCCTCCCTGGGTGCCCACCACCCTCAGCGGGGCCCTACTCTGGGACGGGGAACTGGGCTCAGTTCTCCTCCCCCCCAAAAAAAAATGTGCCCTTGTTACTTTTCCAGGTAACACAGGGAAGTTCAGGCTGAGGTTTTAGAGGTGTTTCACAGACTGGTTTGCAATTTCAGCCTGGAGAAAAGGAGGCTCAGGGGGGACCTTCTGGCTCTGCAATCCCTGACAGGAGGGGGAGCTGGGGGGGGGTCGGGCTCTGCTCCCAGGGAACAGGGACAGGAGGAGAGGGAACGGCCTCCAGCTGGGCCAGGGGAGGCTCAGGTGGCACATCAGGAGGAATTTCTGCCTGGAAAGGGTGGTCAGGCCCTGGCAGGGGCTGCCCAGGGAGGTTTGGAGTGCCCAGCCCTGGAGGTGTCCAAGGCAGGCCTGGCCGTGGCACTCAGTGCTCTGGGCTGGGGACAAGGTGGGGATGGGCACAGGGGGATCCATGGGCTGGGAGGGCTTTTCCAGCCTCAGGGATCCTGGCATTCCACAAAGTCACATCTAAAAGCAGGTCTCAGCCATCCAAACCATTTGCTTGCCATTCCTGCCTGAAGCTGCATCCAAAGGACTTTTAACAGCCTTGGGTTGCTCAGTTCTGTAGGGTGAAGGTCATGGCATCCTCCATCCAGGGACCAGACTCTTGTCCCAGCTCTGGGCAGCAGGTGAGATGACAGGTAAGCAGGAGGATGTCCTCTGTAGGCATCTTCTCCATCCTCAGCACAGGGATAACTGCATCCCACACTCATTTTGCCAAGATCTGACAGCTGCCAGGTACACAGATCTCTCACACAGCCAGTGGCCATCCCAGCTTCCCAAAATAGCCTAGACAGGGGCTACAAATGCGGAACAAGGAAAGCTCCCAAAAGCAGAAACATTTCAGAAATGCATCTGAAAACCAGAACAGCCTGACAGAGTTGCTGTCCCAGAGGGGCTGTGTCAGACCTCACTGCACGCTCTCTGGGAGAAAAGGCACAGTAAGAGGCAAGAAAGTACCCAGGGAAAGCTCACCTTGTCTGCAGTGTAGGGTGGTTCCTTCTCCCTCCTCTTTCCAACCACAGATGAGCCCTCAGGCATCCTGAGCATCCCCTCAGGCATCAACAGGGTGTGATGTGGAGAGTCCCACCTGCTCTGATGGATCAACAGCTCTGGCACAGGTGGGGGAGTTTAGGGAGGGGGATTACAAGAGAGCTGGAGAGGGGTTTGGACAAGGGATGGAGGGACAGGTCAAGGGGGAGTGGCTTCCCACTGGAAAAGGGGAGATTTGGGTGGGATATTGGGAAGGAATTGCTGGCTGGGAGGGTGGGCAGGCCCTGGCACAGGTTTGCCCAGAGAGGCTGTGGCTGCCCCTGGATCCCTGGAAGTGTCCAAGGCCAGGTTGGAGCACCCTGGGCTGGTGGAAGGTGTCCCTGCCCATGGCAGGGGATGGCACTGGATGGGCTTTAAGGTCCTTCCAACCCAAACCAGTCTGGGATTTGATGATTCACGTTCCACCAGGAGCTCTGTTGCTTCCTGCTCAAAAAAACAGCCTTTCCCTGCTCCACTCTGCTGCCCCTGTCCTTCCCAGGCTGCTCTTCCCCAGCCCCGCTCGTGCTGCATCACCCAGGCAGCTCAGTCCTGCCCAGAGCTCTCCCAGTGCTGCTGTGATTGCTGCTCACAGCTCCTCACCCCTCGGGCTGTCTGACCCTGCTGCTCCCCCTGCCAGCTCTGCCAGCCTTGCTGCCAGCCCTGAGCCCACTCTGCTCCTCTCTGGGTCTGTGTCCCACAGCCCCCAGGGCTGGGATTTCTCCAAGTGCCTCTGCACAGGTGAACTCCCTCCCCGTTACTGCAGCTCAATCCCTGCTAAGTTGCTTTAAGATCACAAAGAACTTCACTGGGGCTGAGAATAATCAAAAAACGCCACATAGGAAGCTCCCAAGAGGACAATGAGAAAACTGCAGCCCAAACAGGGTCCTGATCAAAGCATGGAAATTTGAAAGCATTTGACACACTAGAACTGCACTTTTATGCTGCTGGCAGGTAATAGCTGCCTGCTCAGGCTGAAAAATGCTTCAAGAAAACACATTTTCCAGAATTTACAGACATTCTCTCTTAGAGGAGTTCCATGAATAAGCACCTCCTCGGAAAACATAATTACCAGAAGTAGGGCAAGGGGAGGAGGAGCGGCCCAAGGTCCCCCCAAGGGTCACAACCCATATTCCTGGGTTTATATATAGACGTCCTAAATAGCAAAGTGAATTAAGCTCCATTTGTCCTTCCCGACAGTCCGGCTGGGGGGGAGCCACGGACATGGAACAGCGGGAAAATTGGACCCTCAGCTCTCCTGTGGAACTGGAGCCCACGTAACACTAATTAATCTCAGATCTGACTTTGGAAAGAACTTCCCTCTTGCCTTGTAGCATCACTCCCAGGAGCTGTTCCTAAGCCCTGTTCCCTCTCCCAGCCACTGGTTCATTATCCATTGGTGGAGTGTTACTGTGCCATCAGCACAAGCCTTTAATCAATTTACTTGACTCCAGGAAAAATTATATTTACTTCGTACCTGCTTCCGTGGATGTGCTGTGAAATGACTCGAGCCGAGGCTTTGGTAGGAAAAATTTCCTCCCAAATCCAAGTTTGTCAATGAAAAGCTGTTTCTAACTGGCCTCCCACAGCGGCACCTCCAGAGATCCATCAGGAATCGCTGCCTCCGTGGGCTTTCCAAAGGACTTCCCTCTAATAGAAAGTGAACTTATTGACAAGCTTTCTTGGCTGTTCTTTCCAAAGCTTTTGTGAAGATATAATTGTCAAGAAGATATAGATTTATTTGGCATCCCCAGCCAGGCCTGAGAAATTACAGCTGCACCTTTCTGTCAAGCACATGCCTTCAGCCAAATTGGCCTGCAATTGGGGATGATGTTTCTATGGAAAACTGCAGGAGATAGCATTTCCAGGGCCTTCTCACCAAGAGGGAGAGGGAAAAAGGAGAAAGAAAATTTATGTTTAGAGTCAGAAAGAAGAAAACAAAAACCCCATCTTTTCCTGGGAAAGTTGTGTAGGATTGGAAAGATCTGAAGAAAAAACTAACTGAAGAATCCCATGGTTTAGACCATGGAATGGTCCCATTGAGTTCTCAGCCTTGGCACCTGATCCAGCAAGAGTCCAAGGACCCGGGTGACAGATGGAATCAACACCATCACACCCATCCAAGCACATTCCACCTCAGGAACTCACACACCCCGACAAATTCCACTGAAATGGTGAAGTCGGGGGGAAATCCCCCCAGATTCCAGATGTGCATCCTGCAGCAGTTCTCTTGAAAGTCCTAATCAGGATTTGCATATAAAAGCAACATTGATTTGGGTTTATCCTGGGAACCTCTCAGAGAGCTGAGAACATCTTTGTGCTCTGCTTCTGTCTGAGCTTGGGAAACCTGCAGTTCAGTTACCTTTAGTGATTCCACAAATTGGTGTAAGTGGCAAAGAAGGAATTCCATCCCCTGCCTCTCTTGCTCTTCAATTGATTTTTCTGTCATTTTTTAAAGCACTACCCAAGGCAGTTCCCTGCAAACCTGATCACTCTGTGCAAAAGCTGCTTGAAATTCTTTGCTATTATGAGAAATGCTGCAGCACCTGGAAGCCTGGGAATTTTAAGCATCTGAGGCATTTGTTGTAAGAAGAAATGTCCAGCACTTGCAGTGCTTGCAGCGTGGAAATAGCTGGCTGCTCCTCGGGCACAGCTCTGCTCCCTTCCTCGCTCCACCATCGGAAGTTCTGGCACGTTGACTTTGACCTTGCTCGTTGCTTTACACGGGCCTGGGGGCACAGCCTGAATGCTTCACACACTGTTAGAAATAATGGTATTTTTAATGGCTTTGTGTGTCCATAGCCAGCTTGAGTGGAAAGGGAAGTCCGTGCATCACCTGCAGCTGGGTGGGGGGCAAGGCAGTGGGCAGAAGGGGTGGGATCACTCAGCTTTGGGTGAGTTGGTTGTGTCAGGTCAGTTCAGCTTATTGACCTGAGCACCTCCTCAAGAGATGCTTATACAGGTGGATTTTATGTATATATGTATATACACACACACATATATATATAAGATATAAAATATAAGATCCTTTATATGTTCTATAAGGAACACAGATTCCGTGATTCCAGGTGTAGACTCCCAGCTACACATCCCTGAGCACTGAGGTGTCCAAGTGAACTGTGGTCTTCTAAAACAAGGCAGATAAATCAGCCACAGGTCATAAAGAGAGCACCAATTTCTTAGAGACTAATCCTAATCTCAAGCAGTAAAGTAATAAAAGGTTTTTCCCTCTCTGCATAAAAGAATATTAAAAAAAATCAAATAAAGATTTCTCATAAAACAGAGGAATGATGATGGTGAAATAGTAAAATGTCTGAGGATTTTATCTTGCAGGTCAATAAAAAATAGGCCTGGAAACACTGGGCTACTCACCTTTTGTTCCAGATGTGCAGCTGTGTCACATCCTGGGGAGTAACAGAGGGGACAGCACTTGGATGGCACCTGGAGAAAGGGCAGAGAAGATGGATCCTTTGTTCATGAGAGGACCAGCACTTCCTTCACCCATTACCAGGAGGGCACTGGAAGGACACTCGGAGTGTCTTCTGTCTCTTGTACATCCTCCAGCACCACCAGAGCCCTTCAGCCTGGAGAAGGGAAGGGTCCAGGGTGACCTACTGTGGACTTCCAGGACCTGAAGGGACCCTACAGGAAAGATGGAGACTATTTACCAGGAGTCTGGAGGGACAGGACACAGGGAATGGCTTCCCACTGCCAGAGGGCAGGGAGAGATGGGAGATTGGGAAGGGATTGCTGGCTGGGAGGGTGGGCAGGCCCTGGCACAGGTTGGGCAGAGAAGCTGTGGCTGCCCCTGGATCCCTGGAAGTGTCCAAGGCCAGGTTGGATGGGGCTTGGAGAATCCTGAGCTAGTGGAAGGTGTCCCTGCCCATGGCAGGGGTGGCACTGGATGGGCTTTGAGGTCCTTCCAACCCAAACCATTCCATGATATTGCTCAGTTTTCCCTATGGAACGACCCTGCTTTTCTGGACAGCTCTGGAGAACTGTACTGAGGATTAGTGGAGTGAAACTCTAAGCCAAGGAGCTTCTCAGCCCCTGCTAAGTCCAGCATCTCTTCTCAGTCAGGGCCACGAGGCTGTGGGGGCTCAGCCTCACGTGGAAGGGCCGTGCTGGGCTCAGCCCGAGCCGTGTCCTCGCTGAGTAATGTCCCTGCAGCAGGGGAAGGGGCATTTATCAGTCCAAATTAATCCTTCTCCAAGTGAAAATGCCTCTGCCTTCCAATTAGGCTGCTGTGAGCGATGGAAACAAAGGAAAATTGCTCACCTTAATTAGTCCCTTTGCAGAGCTTTTTGCAGAGTCATCTCTCATCCCCAGCTCACCAGGGCTGATCCTCGGGCACCGCCTGGGGGGATCCACGGGGAAAGCTCCTCTGCTGCCCCCAGGGCAGCCCACCCTTGGGGTAGGCTGAGGCTCTCCTCACTGGTGGGAGCAGTGCCAAGGCTGGCAGGGGTGGTGTGAGCAGAGGGAGTCACTGACTCATCCTTTCACTGCTCAGTAGCCCAAATCAGAGCTGGGAAATGAAAAACAAAGTGAGGAAGTTGTTATTTGGAAAGTGTCACACTTCTGGTGATCCTTGTGCAAAACATTCTTCAAAGTTGGTTCTTTGAAGACGAAAAGCTTAAGAACTTCTCCATTCTGTTGCTGTCACATTTCACAGATGTTAGGAAGTTTGAATCAGGAAGACTTTTAACCCTTCATATTGTCTAAAAATGTGGAGTAAAACCTGTGTAATAGCCCATTCTTAGGACTAAGTCCACCTAGCTGCTTGACTACATCTTCACTTCACATCCAGCCCCCCATCCAGCCTCCCATGCCAAACCCAAATGCTTTAAAACTGTTTCAGATTTTGTGGGACTTGGAAAAGCAATTCCAAGTTGTGCTGGACAGGGATAAACCCGAGTACTCACAGTAAATTAAAAGTGCAGGTAAAATGCATTATCAGACTGATGCCCATGAGCCTGTAAAAGTGCAAGGAGAGACATTTTAACCCCCCCCTTCTGGAGCCCATTAAAATGCAGGTGCAGCACCCCTGTTTTCATGGCTCTACAGACTGACTCACACACCAATTCCAGTTCTCTTCAGCTCATTAAATGGAAAGGAAGTTTGTTGTCATCTTGCCTCGTAAACAACTTGAACGTTCATAATTGGGAAAAAACCTACAGCAGCTTCCATTTCCATTTTTAACTTCTTCCACGAGTTAAAAAAAATGAAACCATTGCTCACTGTTGCCTTCCAGAAGCTGGTTCCTAATTCCACTGTCAGCTCTGCCAGGGCAGCTCATTTCTCATACCCAGCATGGGTGTGACCACGTTTAATTGTAGATCCATCCATTCAGCACTAAAACAAGCAAAAAGGGTCTCAGGACCCCCACCCTGCACAATTATTCCATGCAATAAATGCAAACACACAAGTCAAGAGCTGTGACAAAGCAGAATCAGAGTCACAGAATCAACCAGGCTGGAAAAGACCTCTGAGATCATCGAGTCAGCCACTCATCCAAGTTGGTTCTGGAGGGTCTTGGAGCAGGCTGGGAGCTGCAGGTGGGAAACTCAGCACTTAAATTCCCAAATGTGATGTTCCACAGTGAATATTTTTTGTTTTCTCCACTGGGGTGGCTGGTCCTGGGACACCTTCAAGGTAGTTTGACACCACTTCACCCAGCCAAGGTGTTTTAGGCAGCAGGTAAGAGCTGTCTGTTGACAAAGGAGCTGCCTGGGCTTGAGAAAGGTTCTGAATATCAGAAACTGCTGCAGCCTCAGCCTCCTTCATTAGCAGGAGACTAATCAGTGGCACCCTAATCAATTCAATTATCAGAGCAGTAATTTGCAGGAGCCCCTCAGGAGGTACAACCAGTGAGGAGGGAGGTCCAAGCAGCCCATCTTTCCTGGGATGGAGCTCTGGGACATGGCTGGTCTGAGACCTCAGATGATGGACTCAGTCAGCTTTGAACCTGGGGGAGACTTGGGGAATCAGCCCCAATACAAATAATGAGAGCTGGAAGAGCAAAGATACTCTGCTTCCCTACATCCACTTCCCAAACCCAACTTCTCAGCTTTGGGTTTCAGGTCAAAAAAGGCTCATTTTGCAATCAAAATTTGACCTTGCTTCATGAGAAATTCCAGGTGGAAATCCCTGTGCCCCAGGCAGAACCAGAGCTTCAGTCCCTGGAGGTGATCAGAGACCCTCCAGTGTAGTTGTGTAGCTGGAGTGAACAGATGATGCATCGCTGCTGATGTCATGTTTCAAAAACCCTGCAGAAACAGGGGCAGCTTCACAGGATGTTACAAAAATATCACTTAAACTCACTGTCTTTGAAATCCATTCCACTGTTGTTCCCCACATTGGAGACAGGGACTGGAGCCAGGAATAGAAACATCTCTGGAGCTGGAGAGGAGACAGAGCATGATCCCACTCGGAGAGCGACCGAGAGCTGCACCAGGAGTTCTCCCATCATCACCCCCAAAGAAAGGCAATCATCTCATCTCCTCCCCCACAATGTGTTGAAATTAATAAGGCTGTAATTCCATTGTTGAATTCTGATAATAACGTCTCAAACCACGAGAGTAAAGCAATTACAGAGTTGTGTATTCCAGAATTACCCTCCTAACTCAGCCCTGCCTGACCCCCTCTCCAATTAGCTGCAGACACTGCGGGAGGAGGAGGCTCAGGGTACAGATCTGGGGATCTCAGAGCTCTGTGACTCCACACGCAGCTTTCTGAGGCACTGATTCATTATTCATCTTCAGTACCTCTAGCTGGGAGCTGAACTAGGAACCCAGCTCAGCCTCAGCCTGGCTCCCCCGGGCTGGGGAACGTTTCTGCTCTCGGGGTTCCAGAGCCCACACCAGCACAGTGCAGCTGCTGCAACCAAAGGGGTGGGGAGGATGGGTGGTGAACCTCCCCCTGCATTCCCCAGAACCCCCCACACTGCACACTGCATCCCCTGGGCCTGGCCCTGCAGCCCTTGGGAATCTGGATCAGATGTTGGGAAGGAATTCTTGTCTGTAAGGGGGATCAGGCCCAAGTTCAGCCTCCCAAACCCCACTCCTCTCCAGATGCCTTCGGATGTTTCAAACTTGACAAGAGCTCCCCCAGGCTGATCCACAGGTGGTTCCCAAGAGCTGTGTCCCATTTGGGAACACACTCCCACACTGGGAAACAAGGACACAACAGCCTGACCCCACTGTCCCGGTGCTCCTCTGGGCCACAAGGACAACAGATGACACAGACCAAAGGGGGAGGGAAGGACCATCCTCCCCATCCAGGACAGACAAATGGAAGAGTTCCACAAGCCCCCCAAGTCCCAGCTATTGCCAGAGCCACAGGACAGACATCTCCCCCTGCACGAGGTCAGTGCCTGGTCTGGCACTGCTTCCCAGCTGCTCCCGTGGGTGAGAGTCTGAGGGCAGAGCAGCAGGAGGTGGAACTGCTGACTAGAACATTTCATCTCCACACTTTGTTGGTGGCTCTGCCCATCCCCAGCCCCACCAAACCCCCCTCAGTCAGAGCAAGCCTTGGCCAGCTGCACGTGGGCCGTGGGGGCTGTAACTCTGCAATATTTAGACCCTTAGCTGATGAAAGGCAGTGTGTACTTCATTCCTTGCCAAATTTTTGTGTGGATCATAAAGTGGAATATTTTCCCCCAGCCCAGCTCTGCTTTCCTGCCTAACTTGGGCCTTTCATGTCAGTGGTGCAGCAACATGAGTGAAACACAAGTGGATCTGCCTTTTCTTCCAATGGATGTGCCGCTTCCCGCTGAGTCAGACAATGCACTTCCATCCCAGCACAGAAAATGTGCTCAGCAGAGACAAAGAGACTTCAGTTCTCCCTGTTCTGCTCTTTGGTTGTGCCCAGACACGGGATCACTTTCCACAGAAACGGAGAATTGGAGGATTTCTGGGGGAGTTTGCAGCACCAGGACATTGTGTTCCCAACAGGTTATGGAAAACCTTTAGGAAGTTCTGTCTCACACAGAGCCCTCACGGGGTGCCAAAACACCGGGACCCTTCCCACAGCCCTGGGTGGGAGGGGAAAGGGTTCCAAGCCCCTGCCCAACCCCATCAGCACCAGAGAGCATCACCCACCTCCTGGACCACGTCCCACAGCCAAAACCGCGGGGCACAAACACCAGCTGGGCTCTGCTCTCCTAAAGTATCAACTGTGTTTCCTTCTCTAAATGATAATCCACATCTAAATGATAATAAAATTCTATCCAATCTCAGCCACTGGCCAATGATTCCTTACTACATGCAAAGTATAAACCATCCCAAAGACGTGGAAACCACGCAGAATTCTGGCAGCGTATTTCAATTTTAAGAGCCTGGTGCCATTGGCTAAGCAGGTGCAGGATGTATTCACTGCAGGGCTTCACTCTGACACACAATCTCTTTAAAATCCTGAGGGAGTCCCATTTTAATTTACAGAAATTTAATGACAGTATTACTTGGGAAATTAGAGCTAACTTTTTAATGCTGTGTATTCCTCCATCTGACAAGGAGGAAGTGTGCTTGCAATAATAATCATTTAATAGGGCCATGTGGGTAAATAGCACAGAATTTGTGGCAGTTTATTCCTGATATACTCACAAAAGAGTTCAATCCCTTTTTTATCTTAATTTTCAGTGCATTTCAGCTGCGTGACATGGTAGAATAGCCAACCAAAGCATTTGCAGCCCTGCCATTCCTCATTTAAATGAGGACCTTTATTCCTGTTCTGAGGACCACAAAAAGTGGTTGGAGACCTCTCAGGTGGGCTTGAACCCAGCCCAGTGAGGAGCATCTTTGATAGCACCTCATTGACTGAATCTCCAAGGAAAAAAGAGATGCTTGGAGCTGCCAACAGGCAAAGATTCTCCCCCATGTCCACTTTGAGGATCAGCACTTCTGAGGTATTCCATCTCCAAGCCCTATTCTGCCCCACATCCA